CTTTCTTGAACAGAGATGAGTGTCACTGGATTTGTTTTTCTGGATATTCCATCCTAACACAGCATGCCTGACTTCTGCCTTGTGGCAATTGACCTTGGGCTGATATGAAGTTGGATTCTCCTTCTCTTTTATATTCCTCCCAGAGCTCAGAGATAGCCCCTATACCATATATACATATATACACGTATATTTTTTTACCATAATAACAGTTGGGGGGAAAGCTAATGCTGTTATAATCACAATATTGGATCAGGATGGTTCTGGAGATTATCTGGTTAGATGATATTTGGGGGCTAAACCCTTCACGTTTACCCTACAGAACACACTCACAGAAGTAGCCGAACACCTAGTATGCACAGGAAACTGGCACAGAAAGGAGTGTGATGTTTGCAGGAGCCTTGCTGCACCATAAAAATATAGCAGTTTCTTGTCCAAATACCTCCACAGACGGAGATGCCACTGTTCTAGGTTACTTCTCTTTGATGTCTATCCTTTCAACTCTAACAATGTTTCCTTATAACAAAGACCTTTTCTGCTTTATTATGGGCCCACGCTTTGTCAGTTCTGTCTCTAGAAGCACATGTAGAATAACTAACTGACTTCAGTTACGCAGAATAAGTGACTTAATTTTCCACAAATCCCTAGTCACTCCTGAAAATTATGATCAAGATTTTTAAAATATCGTCAGTTAAAAGTGCCTGATAGTTTTTGGCAAGTACTGAGGAATCGCAGCCCAAAGGAAACCACTCCACTCATGATCAGCTTCTTAGATACTAGACTGAGGAGACTGCATGCATGTCACACAGAACATAAAAACCTGGCATGTATGCCAAACTGGGCCGGCATGCCAAAAATCAGTTTTAAGATTGGATTTATACCGAACAACAACAACAAAGATAAATAAAGAACTTAATCTTTAGTTCTTACCTTTGCTCACCCATCACAAACAAACAAAACTGATTCAGAGTAACTTTACAGAAAGTCAATGTGTTTGAAACAGAGGTTTATCATCTTGATAAAGTAGTGTTTGTAACAAAATGGAGATTAAAACTCAGTAGAGGAATTTGATATATCTGTATGAAAACCTGCCTTATATTTTTGAGACAATTTGTCCATGTAACAATAAAATCATTGTCATATATGACATAAAGGTATAATTGAGTTTTAAAATGAATGTTCAAGTGGTGGTTGCTGTATTCTCTCTACAATGTGAATACTCTCATTACTTATTAGAGCTCCTGCAAGAAACATAATGATTATTTACAATCTGGGACATGGTTAGTGATTCCAAACCTTTGAGGCTATTATTCTAAAGCATAGTTCCCATCCTTTTAATAATTCTTCCAAGTTTCTCTCTCTGTCTCAAAGGCTTTTCTCGATTTCTAGTTTGGCCTAAGCTTGTTAGCAACACTTAAAAAAAAACAAAACACTTTCATGCTTCTATACATAATTCAGGAGCCCTGGTGGTGTAGTGGGTTACAAGTTGGGTTGTGATCCACAGGGTCAGCAGTTCCAAACCACCAGACACTCAAAAGATGGGGCTTTCTACTCCTGCAAACGGTTACCACCTTGGAAACTCACAGGGGAAGTTCTACCCTGTCTTAAGAGGCTGCTATGAGTCAGCATCTATTCAATGGCAATGAATTTGAGTTTATACATAAATCATTTATCAGTTACTACTATGCACTTTGCATTTTCCCCATCTGTGCTTTTTCCAAGGTAAAGAATACACACTCCTGGTTTACCTGATCCACTGCAAAGATGATCTGATCGTACACATCTCTTTGTGTGTAGACGGCATATGTATCATCCATTCGGTCCACGTAGCCTTTTAGGAAGAGGTGTTTGAATGCTATCGTGTTCTCTTCTTTGAAAGCTACCACCATCTGGTTACTTAGCCCAAAGAAGACCAGCTTTAAAGGGAAAAGGGGGAGAGAGAAAAGCAGGGAAGGAAAAGATCTCCATAAGCAATAACCAATTTACTCAAGATCCCATGTCAATCCAACCCGAGTCTATCCCACCACAAATCACATTTTTGACAGCTATGAACTCGTGTCCTTAAAGTTAAGTTTCTAGTGTTAAAATAGAAAAATCAATAAACTGCACATCTCCAACATTTACTTTCATGTATCATCCCACCACAGACCTGGTTCCCATTTCAAAAGTGCATCAGTTGTTCACGCATTCAGAAAAGCAAGATCATTTTAGCTAAATGGATGGGAAGGGCTCCTTAAGGAAAGAAGAATGATAGGAACCGGTTGTGTGTCTAAAGCCAGGAGACCTTTAAGGCACACAGGAATGGCTCGGAGGGTCAAGTGAAACGTACCACTTGGGGAGAGCACTGAGAGTGTCAACAACACTCCATGTGAAAAGTGGTGAGGGAGAGAAATATATGAGCAGACAAGGGAAAGCAGGCAGTGCCATGGTTTGGGAGGCAAGAGCAGCTTAGTAGAAGGATAGTAAGAAATGTTTTGAAGTTGGTGGCTAATGAACTGTAAGAGATCCCTTAATGTGCCCAAGCCTGTTGATCAAACTACAGTCCTAGGTTTCATGATCAAAACTGTGACAATAAGGCCAAAAATAGCAACTACCCTTTTAACTAATGTCTGAACTCAAATATATTAACATGATGAATCCTTAATATCCATGTGGGTTTGCTTAGAGAGTTCTATAGAAACTCAGTTATTCACACACACACAAAGTTGTATTAACTCACCGCTGCCACCTTAACTGAAGCCCTCCCAGCCTTAGTGTAGTCTAAGTTTCTCACCTCCTCTTCTCTCCTAAACTCCCTCTCTGTCTCGTTCTGTCTCTAGTTCTCTGCCCTCTCACTCTCACACACACTGTAAATCTAGAAAGTATACTCTAATTTAGATCCAAGGGTAAGGCAGGGTGTCTGTGACCAGAAAGAGGGTATACTCTACCAGAACTTCCCTTACAATGACTTAAGAGAAGGGAGGCCTTACCATCCCCATTTTGCAGGGGAGGACATAAGGCCCACAGAAGGTAAGTAATTTTTGAGTCACGTTATTAAAAATTGCATAGTCAAAAATTAAACCTAACTCCCACACTAGGAAACACAGTTCTACCTTCTTAGAAGATCAAGGCATGTCTAAGAAGAGTGTGTGTGTTGCAGGGATTGAATCTCAAGTCTACTCTTCTGGTTTCCTATGCTAGCTGGCTCATTTTTACTTCAGCATTGCCATCTGGGCAATGGGGAATGCACTTTCTATCTAAGATTCAGCGTTAAATGAAACATGATGCTGCCTGAAAAATATTACGTGTAGTCCAAAGCGAATACTCAAGCAGCATCTATTGTTACTGGATGTGGAAAATGTTCGTGTTCAGCCAACACAGGTTTTTCTCTCCTCGTGAGAAACTGTAGATAAACTTGTCATTATTGTGAAGTACTGTATGACCAGCAGCTAGCTCTCATGGCTGACTTAGAAAACTTCAACCAAACTTGTCCACTGGAAGCATGCTATTAAAATTTCTTCCCCCTCTTCCCCACAAACTAATTAGATAACATTTCTAAAATTATAACTTGGTGAAAGATGAAAAGGAGAAAAAACACAACAATGTCTTCTTTCACAGCTGGTAAAGAGAATATGATTTAAGAGAATGTTTCCTTATGGATCATTCTCCATTGTGCAGACCATTAAAATATACAAAACCCACAGACATCCACGTTGTCATTAAAAGAGGCCTCCACCAACCTCACGCCCAAGACGCTCACCTGGATTGTCACCATTACAATTTTTAGGATTTGGATGGCAAGCTTCCATGGTTTTCTACCTCGAGCCCAGAACTTCTCACAAGGATTCATGAAGAAAAATTTGAGTTTTCTCCTCATCTGGTCTTCTAAGAGAAGTTCTTCCGAGACAGCTGTATGCTGGTTAAAATTGCAGCGATTTTCCTCTTCGGGAGAGTTGCAGCTACTTATAACTACCTCAGAATTTGCCATCTCTAGAGGGGGACAAAAAGAGTTTGCATTCAGTGAGTAAAGGCACAAACTTTCTTTGCTGTTGCAGGATAGTTGAAGAGTTCCAAATAAAAAAAGACTCGATTTCAATAAACACCATTGTGCTAGGTGCATTTTAGAAGTTAACAGGATAAATTAGAATGCAAGGCATCACTTTTCTGTTTGTTTCTGTTACTGAGTGAATCTTCATTGAGATGAAAGTTATCAAATTCAAGGGCTGCTTCTAACAGTTAAAGATTATATACGTGAGTGCGTTATTATAGAATACTGTGTTCGTGGATGTTTGTTTATTTGTTTTGCTTTTTGCTTCTGCATTTAGTAATATCCGTTACTCATTCCGCAACAGATAGAATTACAACAGAGCTTGTTGACGTGAAGACCTGAATAGGAGCTTCACAGAGTTGGTGGACATGGAAATCATGTGCAAGACGTTATGGCTAGGTGGATATGGGCATTTCCCGTACGCAAAGACTAGACGTTTCTTCATTAGCAAAAAAAGGTTTCAAGCCATTGAGTTAAAGGTGGCCAAGTCAACTGGGCACCCCCTTACAGAAGGGTCGAGGGGAGGAGATGAGCCAGTCAGGGTGCAGTATAGCACTGATGAAGCATACAACTTTCCTCTAGTTCTTTAATGCTTCCCCACCCACCCAACCACTATCATGATCCCAATTCTACCTTACAAATCCAGCTAGAACAGAGCGTGTACATGGGTACAGATAAGAGCTGGAAACACAGGGCATCCAGGACAGATAAGTCCCCCAGGACCAATAATGAAAGTAGAGATACCAGGAGGGGAAGGTCAGGGAGAAATGGGGAACCAATCACAATGATCTACATATAACCCCCTCCCTGGGGGACAGACAACAGAAAAGTGGGTGGAGGGAGACATCGGACAGTGTAAGATATGACAAAATAATAATAATTTATAAATTATCAAGGGTTTGTGAGAGAGGGAGGGTCGGGAAGAGAGAGTGAAAAATGAGGAACTGATACCAAGGGCTCAAGTAGAAAGAAAATGTTTTGAGAATGATGATGGCAACAGATGTACAAATGTGCTTGACACAATGGATGGATGTGTGGATTGTGATAAGAGCTGTATGAACCCCCAATAAAATGATTTAAAAAAAACAAAGGTGGCCAAGTATGGTGCTTTGAAGACTAAAGGGCACCTGATCCAATTACCTTATACACACATGGAAGCCGGATAATGAATAAGAAAGATGGAAAAGACTTGATGCATTTGAATTATGGTGCTGGCAAAGAATATTTAAAGCAGCATGGACTGCTAAAAGAACAAACAAATCTGTCTTGGAAGAAGTACAGCCAGAATGCTCCTTAGAAGTGAGGAATTCATCGTATGCACTGCGATCATAGGTTATCAGGTGGAACCAGTCCCTGGAGAGGGCACTGTGTTTGGCTCAGTAGATGGATCAAGAAGATAGACTGATAGCAGTAGCTGAAAAAATGGGCTCAAATATAACCAATGATTGTGAGGATGGTACAGGGCTCAGGCAGTGGGGTTTGTGTTGTTGTACATAGCGTTGTCACGAGTCAGAACTGACAAGATGGCCCCTAACAACGACAACAGGCAGAGAACCAAGATCTGATTATTTAGTTTCTACTCCTGGTCCCATTCCTTGAGGTTTGTGTCAGTTAGCCTGCCTGAGTCTCAGTATCCTCGGCTCTACAATGGGCATAACTATACCTACTTTCATAAGATTATAGAAATAATTAAAAAATCAAAAACCCTGCATATGTGTGTTGTGTGTGTGGATAGCTGTAGCAATGAGTGGATTCCAACTCATTAGAACCCTATAAAGGGTACCTAAGACAGTAAGTATGTATGGAGGTAGACAGACTCATATTTTAAATTAAGAGACAAGTAAAGTCCTTGCACAAGATCTAGCACAAAGGAGACAGCTTTGGTTACTACACCCAGGAAGCTCCCAGGCGCAGTGTGAGAACTTACGGTCTTATAGTAGCTATTCTACAGTAAAGTAGGATGAAGACTCACAATTTGAGCAGACACACCAATACAAAGCCCTTGTGTTGGCGTTCCTAAAAGCCTTCTGTTGGTCGAGCACATGTTACTTGTCAAGGTACTTCTCAGTTATCACGTGTTTATCTCTGAAGAAAGCAGAGCTGGTTTTGTTGTCAAGTTTTTCAGACATGGCAAATAAGGCATTCCAAGCATCAGAACATATTGGATTTTCTCTCAAAGGACGGTGAATGACATGGAATTTTTAACCTATATATGTATAGTATCTGACCAGGGCCTGCTTAAGTGCCATACTACTTTCTCCACCTAGTACACCACTTATGAGTCAGATTCCTGCATTCTTTGCACACCCAACATCTCCAGACAGCAGATACGGATGAGAAAAACCAGCTGTGGGAGATGCTTTTAAACTCTTGATTAATACAAATATTAATAAGGATCACGCTTGTTGAATAAAGCATAACTATATTTTCTATATGCCATATACCAAAACCAAACTCACTTTTGTTGAGTCAGTTCTGACTCATGGTGACCCTCTAGAACTGAGCAGAACTGCCCTTGCAGGGTTTCCAGGGCCGCAAATCCTTTTTTTTTTCTCCAATAGTTTTATTGAGATATAATTCACGTATAATACACTTCCATAGTTCAGTTGTATTTAAAAAGAATATATACATCAGCACAATCAGTTTCAGAACATCCTCCCATATTCATTATTTGCTCCCCACTTCCTTCCAACATCCCCCGTATTGGCTCTATACCATTGCCCATCCTGTGCTTCACATACAAAAAACCCCAAATAATGAAAATAGCAAATATATTAAGAGAAATAAAGAAAGGAAAGACCTACAACAGAATTAAAATAAGCCAGAGGAAAAGACTCCTGATGAGAAAAAAGCAGGAAATATTTAAAACTAGAACAAATTCAGAATGGGTTCAAAGGAAGATCAGATGACCAGGTGGGACATTTTAACCTAATTTCCCCTGACTTCGGCTGTAAATCTGTATGTAAACAAATTGCGACCTCTTTCTGTCCCAAAATGGTTAGAACAACTGGCTTTTCAGTTAGCAACCTTTAATCACAGTCTTCCATACACACACATACAAAAACAAGATTAACCCTCTGCCATTTAATCGATTCCTACTCATAGAGACCTCCAATAGAGTAGATATGCCCCTTTCGGTTTCCAAGGCTGTACATCTTTATGAGAGCACAAAGCCTCATTCTTCTCTCTTGGAGAGGCTGGCAAATTTGAACAGCTAACCATTTGGTTAGTAGCCCAATGTGCAACTGCTATACCCCAGGGCTTCTAATACACCATATACCAAAACACCAAGCTCACTGCCACTGAGTGAATTCCAACTCTTAGTAACCCTACAGAACTGCCCCTGTGGGTTTTGAGACTACCATTCTTCGCAAGAGCCCTGGTCAGGTAGTGGGTTACATACTGGGCTGCTAGCCTCAAGGTCAGCAGTTCAAAACCAACAGCCCACTGAGTAGAAGAAAGACGAGTCTGTCTACTCTTCTAAGAATTACAGTCTTAGATAACCACTACTCAATGGGGTCACTCTAAATCAGAATTGACTCAATGGCAGTCAATTTGTTTGGTTTTTTGTTTGGGTTGTTGTTGTTGTTGTTGTTAGCTCGTTACAGGAATAGAAAGCCTCCGCTTTCTCCTGAGAAGCAGCTGGTTGTTTCGAACTGCTGACCATTCAGTTAGCAAGCCCAACACATAACATGCCACCAGTATTCCTCTCTCTCACGGCCATCGAGTCCATGCCGACTCATAAGGACTCTCTGTGAGTTTCTGAGACTGAACTGTTTACGGGAGTAGAAAGCCCAGTCTTTCTCCCTCTGAGCAGCCAGTAGTTTCCAACTGCTGGCCATGTGATCGCCGCCCAACATATAAGCACGACGTCACCAAGGCTCCGCATACCATATACAGTATCTATAGAATGAAATCATCATTGCATGAACTCATGAAAGTGTGGTGCCTGTCAAAAAATATAATTAAAAACACGAGAAAAGAAAGTTATTCAACCCTAAAGATTTCCACTTGAAAATTCTATGGTCCTCTTTACAAAGGTCTGATAAATGAAAGCTACTGTGTACAACTCACATAACAATGGAGCCATTAAGAACAATAATGAACTCTTAGAGCATGTTGGTGAATTACACATGTGCGGTTATATTAAACCCTTTCCATTTTGATAAAGTGAAAATTAAATTTTAAACAGACTAGCCACACACTGTGTAACATTAACCCACAAGACAAAGAAAATGAACCAACCACCATTAATTTATTCAGCACATTGGACCAAGTTATCCCCGAAGGAAGGCATTTCATTTGTTACTACTAACAGCTAAAATTGCTTCAACTTTACTGCAAAGCTAACCACCATTCTGACAGTACATTTTTAAAATTGCAATCTGGCAGGCCCCGGGCTGCAGGAAATAAGCCAGTTAAGAGAAGAGACCTAGAAGAGAGGCTATCCCAGTCGTTAGACACACTCCTAGAACCGACAGGTCAACACAAAAGGTTATTTATCTGGGGCTATCAGAGTGGCCTGGGGGTTACAAGTTGGGATGCAATCTGCAAAATCGGCAGTTCGAAACTACCAGCCGCACTGAGCGGAAAGATGGGTCTTTACTGAGGGGAAAGATGGGTCTTTCTACTCCGGGTAAACCGTTACCATCCTGGAAACTCACAGCGGGCACCTGTCCCCTGTCCTGCAGGATCGCTGTGAGCCGGCATTGACTCAAAGTCAATGAGCTTGTTTGTTTTTTGTCCGTCTTATTTGGATTCAACCACAGAAAATTAGAGAAAAATTGGGAGTGTGTATATGCAAATGATAGAAGCCTCAGATGAAGATAGAATAAAGCAACTTTATCTCTTCAGAAGTTCAAAACGTCGGGTCGGCTGCTTTCTTTTCCCGTCCTATCCCTCTTTGTTGTTGGATAAAACAAGCCCGCAGACTGACTGTG